CGGCAGCCCCGCTGCAATCGTGCACCTCCACATAGAGAAAGTTCTGACTCAGATTCATAGCGGATTGCGATCCGCTGACTCGTACTTGTTCTAAGTATAGAACGAAAGGTCGGTGACCTAAATTACGCTTCCATTAAGTGAAACGCTACGGCAGCCCCGCTGCAATCGTGCACCTCCACATAGAGAAAGTTCTGACTCAGATTCATTCCGCGTATACAACGCACAGAGATTTTGTTCTTCCGCTCCTCCAATGTGCGAAAATTTGCGGAACCGTTTATTTACTATAACGTCGGCTCTTGTAGCTGCAGCTCTTCGAATGCGATACATGTCATGGAACATATTTATCTGGCTTGATGGTGCATGCTATTTTCTCTAGTTTTTTTGAGCAAGTCTTCACAACGTCCATTGAATTTTACTCGCACAAGTCCCTTCCTAGTAACCAAACGATTCTAGGTGCCTTCTTTCTGGGTCACATTATTACAAGAGCACAGGGAACCTCGAGCATTATACTCATAAAGTCACATGCTTTTAGAATGATAATGTTTTAATTGATGGTTCAAAAATCAGTCGTAACATGTTTACATGCACAGATACCGTTTTCTTTATTCACCAAGTCCATGGTTTCTAGTCGTTGATTTTTCATGTAGAACTCATCGCATTCGTTTTTGAAATGCCGCGACAGAGACTCGGTGCTGAGCTCGAACGGCGCGATGGCTAGGCGGAACAAACGGTTCACATTGTGAGTATATATGAATGCAAGTATCGTATAGTTTTACGGTAGCGGAGATGCCACCTGGCGAGAAATTCGATAAGGATCTTAATGATATGGGTCAGAATAAGGATAGCTTGAGTCCTGCATAAGATTTTCTGCGGGGGAAAGGGATTATTAATGGAATTTACCTTCGACCATGCAGTTGGAACCCGTTTCTGATATCGAAAACCAGGCAATTTGCCATTAACATTTTTCCATCTTTTAAAGTATAACGACTTTGCAACGCCGCTCACTGTCCTTGTCGCCAGGCATCTGCATCTGCATCAGCAATGCAATGCACATCTCGTACACGATCTCGTGCTAGACGCCGTAAAAATGTAAGCCCAGCTGCATATAAATACCATGCATCTACTGGTATAGTATCTGCGTGTTACAAACGGACAGACAGTTCTTCATATATGTATACAATCTCCGTGATAACCGTTTCAAAAATCTCCTTTGCACATTACTATAAATATGATGAGTACAATGTAAATCTTTTTTTTTACGAGACTGAACGATCAAAACATTACTTTAAAAATGATAGTCGAAGTTTCCCTTGAGAACTCAAAATAATAGCCAACAATAACAAGTTTTAAAAAAGCTGCAAAGTAGTATACTATAGGCCAAACATGATACTTTTGCTTCCTATGATAACCAATCATTTCACAATCCTTAAGCCATTATTCCTCTCGTCCATAAACATGAAGGTTTTCAAATTGAAAATTTCGAGCTTCGCACAAGTGGGGATTTTACAACCTAAGGATCGTGCGACTGAATGAAGTACTCCTGGCGGCTATGCTATCTATCCTGATGATCTCACCCCTTTCAGCAGCTTCCATACGGCGTAACCAACTGTCAGAGCTGACACCTACAGCCAACTATCAGTCTCAACCTGCACGACGCCTCGGAACTGGTATTTCTGCCGATGACTCAGAAGAAAGACTCAATCAAGACTTAAAGTTTCTCAAGCTTCTATTTTCTCGCATCATTCCCGAACCCAAACATGGTAAGATTCCCAAATGGTACGTAAAGTGGCTAAATGGAAAAGAGACCCACCGCCAGACTGTGCTGCAACATTGGAACAAAAAAATGAATCTGCCAGTATCCGAGGTAAAAAAGATGATTGGGTTCGATCCATCTCGTCAATCTTCAAGCTTAGTTAAACTGTTAAATGCCTATACGAGGGAACGCCCCGTTCAAAAAGAAAATATGCACACGTTCGTTTGGAATTAATCGTAGGGAGCTGCGACTGCACTCCTTGTTCTCACGTTGCGCCATGATAAAGTGAAAACAGTAAGTCAATAAAAATACAGCTAAAACGTTTTATTTTTGCATCGCGAGAGTCTTCGAATGAAGTAGCTTCAGTCGTTTTGAAAATAACATCGTGCTGCTTAATATGTTATAGATATCTCTAACCATACGTTATATGTAGACTCTTAATGTGATAGTACTCTGCGAACGTGCACGCTCACATGTCGATGGAGCTCCGTATGCTTGTCAGCGAGATCAGAAGTTTCAAATGAGTGATAAGACAGCCCAATTAATCATCTGGACAATGCAAGCAGAGATATTAGACACTGCTACACATGAGGCTAAGATCTAGCAAGAGAAAAATATATTTCTGTAAATTACTGCCACGCTTACTGTGGCAAAAGATAAGTAAAATATAAATACAGTGAAAGTCAGATGCTTAATTTTCTGTACTGAATTACGCACAGTTAGGTAAAAAAAATGTACTTTATAAAAACAGAGCAAATTCTATACACTACGTTTAACAATATGTATTTGCCGTGATAAGCTTCATTTGTTGCTACACTCTACTTCATTATCAGTATATTGCAGATGTAAACAACATGACCACCCAAAAAATAAAACCGGACTCTAGCTTGGCGTCGGGCTGGCGCTTGTTTGTTTACACAGTCCTAAACCTAGAAGTATGCGGTTAAGCGTCGATAGGTGTATGACACACCATAAGTTTGGGCAGTACGTAGATACCATTTAAATAATAATAGTAGTGCAATCACTAAGTTCAAATAGTATCCACTAATATTCAATCTTTACTACTTAAAAACCACTCATCTCCATTTACTATCTCGATATGATCATGTCCAGTAATAAAGTCCCGTTAGCACACTAAAACAAGACTTAAGATTACGGCTAAAATTCTTTGTCGTCCATCATTCATAATCAAAATCACTACCGCCACGTATAATCATGTCAGGAGCCATTGGACTTAGCCGACAGGGCGTCGAACTTGACAGCATCATGCGCAATGTAACGGGAGAAGAACGGAAGACAAAAATTTTCTGTACTTTGGGTCCAGCTTGTTGGTCACAGGATGGTCTTGGCGAGCTCATAGACGCAGGGATGAACGTAGCTCGTTTAAATTTCTCGCATGGTGACCATGTCAGTCATGCTGATACTTTGAATCGTTTACGTGGTGCATTGGCATCACGTCCACACAAGAATATCGCCGTGATGTTGGATACTAAAGGTCCGGAGATACGAACGGGGTTCTTGGCTAATAAAGACAAGGTCACGATTCAAAAGAATGCTATTCTGGAACTGACAACTGATTATAACTTTTTGGGTGATGAAACAAAGATTGCATGTTCATATCCTGAATTACCTCAATCTGTTCAAGTTGGTGGCTCAATTCTTGTGGCTGATGGATCTTTGGTTCTAACTGTCGTTGAGATTAAAGACGATAGCGTTGTTTGTCGAGCTAAGAATACTGCTACACTTGGTGAACGAAAGAACATGAACTTGCCTGGTTGTAAAGTAATGCTTCCAACTTTAACGGAAAAAGATGAAGATGATCTCGTTAATTTTGGTCTGATGCACGGTGTTGATTACATTGCAGCGTCTTTTGTACGTACGGGTCAAGATATCGATAATATCCGCAAAGTACTTGGTCCTCGTGGTCGTAGTATTAAAATCATTGCCAAGATTGAATCTCAAGAAGGTTTGGAAAACTTTGACGAGATCTTAGCAAAGACGGATGGTATTATGGTTGCACGTGGTGATTTGGGCATGGAGATTCCACCGGAAAAAGTCTTTTTGGCTCAAAAGATGATGATTCGGAAGGCAAATATTGCTGGTAAACCTATTGTGACAGCCACCCAAATGCTTGAATCAATGATTAAGGCACCACGTCCAACGCGTGCTGAGTGTACGGATGTTGCAAATGCTGTGCTTGATGGTACCGATGCTGTCATGCTTTCAGGTGAAACTGCGAATGGTGATTACCCAACAGAAGCTGTGGGAATGATGGCTAGGATATGTGTCCAAGCTGAAGGTGCGATTCATTACGACAATGTGTATCAATCACTACGCAATGCTGTATTGGAGACATATGGTCCACTATCGACACAAGAAGCTATTGCATCATCAGCTGTGAAAACAGCTATCGATATTAAAGCCAAGATGATTGTCGTTCTAACTGAATCGGGTGCTACAGCTCGTTTAGTTTCTAAATTTCGTCCATCGATGCCTGTCTTAGTACTCACAGCAATGGTTTCAAGTGCTCGTCAAGCTGAAGGATTTTACAAAGGTGTAAGAGCTCGTTGTATGGGTTCAATGATTGGCACAGAATCAATTCTTTATCGTGCAACGGATTTAGGCAAACAATATGGATGGGTGCAATCTGGTGACAATGTTGTTGCTCTTCATGGCACAGTTGAAGCACGTTCTGGATCTACCGACATGCTGAAGGTTCTAACGGTTGAATAAGTATCAGTTTAGGTGGATAGTAGTCACTACTATTTGTCAATAAATACACTGAGAAATATTCCATAGTACTTTGCTTTACTATTTTTTCACTTGAGTGACCGTTTTGTTAAACTTTCAGTCTGTGGTACAGTTTCCATCCATCTTCTTACTAAAGAAAAAGATGCTACAACGACTTCGTCATGCTGTCGGGTGGGGATTACCGGCACCTCCACCTGGTACACGAGTTGATTTTCAAGTCTGTGCAGCACTTGGACATGGTCAAACGTTATGGATCGTTGGAGATTTACCACTTCTTGGTGGTTCTGTTGAGATAATCCCAAATCCAAGTACTACAAGTACTGAAAATGGACTCCAATTAGTGACCACCCCCGAATTATATCCCATTTGGTATAATCTTGAACCTATAGTAGCACCAAGTGGTACTATAGTACATTATCGTTATGCTATTGTATCTGGTAGTCGATTTTTACGTTATGAAGGATCAAGTGATGGTGGAATCATTACACGTGAATTAACAATTGGAAGTGAGTATATTCAAACACAAGATACATTAGATGGTCGTTTAGATCGTCGTGCATCAATTGGAAGTGAAGAAGAAGGTTTGAAAATGACAACATGTAGTACTTTCAATATAGTATCTGAATTAACTCATGAGGATGAGATCCCAAGTCATACATTTTGGAATGCTATTCCACGATTAAGTTCTGGACAAGCTTTTGTGGATCGTCGTGCAAATGGAAATGAAGATGGTACATTTCATCGTCTAAATCCAACAATTCGTCGATCATTTGGTGGAATTCGACAAGGAAATACTGAAAATACTGAAGTGAATCAAAGTTCGGAAATGAAACGACGCATTCAAAATGAAGAAAATATCAATTTAACTTCTCAACGTCTTGTTGATGATCTACCATGTTCAACATCACCACGTTCGATGACGACAAATGTTACAATGGAAGCTACAGATGGTGTGATTATTGCTGTCCATCGACTTCCTGTGCTTGTACATCGTACAATTGAAGGACATTATCATATTGAATGGGAAGATGATAATCTCATTTGTCCTTCAGGTTTAATGAAAGATTCATATAGTGAAACAAATTGGGATCAAGTTCATTCCATGCGTCTTACTTGGGTTGGTACAGTTCATTGTGCTGAAAAAATTCCAAAAGAAGATGAAGAACGATTAGCAAAACAATTGGAAGATTTTCATTGTGTTCCCGTATTTCTTTCAGAACCATTGAGTTCAACCTTTCATAATTTTTGTTATGGAACATTATGGCCAGTATTTCATAATATTGTTGATGTTTATGGTGCTTTACCAACAAGATGGTGGAATCCAAGTGAACAACGAAATGCATGGGCAAGTTATAAAACTGTGAATCGAATTTTTGTCAACAAAGTGATTGAAGTGTATAATGAAGGAGATTTGGTTTGGCTTCATGGTCTTCATCTTCTTGTTGCTCCTAGTTTCTTAACACGTCGATTACCATGTGTAAATGTTGGTATCTTTCTTCATACACCATTTCCAAGTTCCGAAATTTTTCGTACTCTTTCGATGCGTGCAGATTTATTACGTGGAGTCTTAGCTGCTGATCATATTGGATTTCATTTATACGAATATGCACGTCATTTTTTAACAAGTTGTCGTCGAATTCTTGGATTGAAATATAGTGCTCAACCTGGTGGATACATTGGTGTGGAATATAATGGTCGAATGGTTATGCTTACAATTAGTCACATTGGAATTGAACCAACATTTATCGATCGAATTCATTCTAGTGAATTAGTTGAACAAGATACAGCAACATTAGCAATGAAGTATGAAAGAAATCAACGTACAATTTACGTGAGTATTGATCGAGTGGAACGTTTAAAAGGCATTTTATTAAAACTTGGAGCAATTGAATTCTTTCTTGCTCGACATGAAGAATATGTTGATAAAGTTCAATTTGTTCAAATTGGAATTTGGGATTCGTCAAATCCAAGTCCTGAGAAAGATAGTGTACGTGCTGAAATCTTAGCACATATGAAACGTATTAATGATCGCTTTGGAGCAAATCGTTTGGAACCTTTATTTGCTTATTCTGAAGTTGAAAATACGGACATGGCATCTCGATTACCACTTTGGCGTGTTGGTCATGTTTTACTTACAACTTCGGTTCGTGATGCTGTAAATTTATATCCATTTGAATTTATTTACGCTCATGAATTAGCGAAATCACCTGGTGTTGTAATTGTTTCGGAATTCTCTGGAAGTAGTCGTGTTTTAACTGGAAGTATTGGTGTTAATCCATGGAAACGAGAAGAGATTGTTCAAGCCATGGAATTAGCTTTAACAATGTCACAAGAAGAACGAAAAGCACGTCATGATAAAGATTTTGAATATATTATTACAAATTCACGTACAAAATGGGCTGAACGTATTCTTGTCGATTTAAAACGAACAAAGAAACAAACAGCAGAAGGAGAACATATGGGTTATGGACTTGGTTTAGGCTTTCGTATGCTTGAATTCAATGCTGGTTTTAAAATGTTAGAAACTGAAGTCGTCGCAAAAGCATATCGCGAAACATTTCGACGTGTACTTTTCTTTGATTATGGAAATACTCTTACGTTAGAAGAATCAACAAATGTTCATAATTTTGTGAAATACATTTCGGGAAGTGAAGAAACTGGATTTGTATCAAAATCCGAGACTCCAAAAGCTAGTTCGGATTTACTTGCTTCCTTAACTTTGTTATGTGCTGATCCACGCAATACTGTGTTTGTTTTAAGTGGAAAAGAACGATTGGATTTAGAACAAACACTTGGAAATGTTCGTGGTTTAGGACTTGCGGCTGAACATGGATATCTGTATAAATGGGGTACAGGAAGTCAATTGACTGAGACACGAACATTTTCAAATTTGAATGATGATGAAGGAGTTTGGTTGTGTACAAAAGATAATTTTGATGATTCATGGAAAGATGTAACCCATGCTGTAATGGATATTTACACTCAACGTACTCATGGCACTTACATTGAATTAAAAGGAAGTGCGTTACTATGGCAATATCGTGATGCTGATCCCGAATTTGGACAATTACAAGCAAAGGAATTACATGATCAATTATTACAAGTATTAGAACATTTTCAAGTCGAAGTTGTGACTGGAATTGATTATCTTGAAGTTCGTCCGGAAGGGGTTGATAAAGGTGTGATTGTTGATCGTGTGATGTCAACTATTGAATCAACAAGTGGACAATATGTGGATTTTATCTTATGTATTGGTGATGATCTTTCCGATGAATTAATGTTTCAATATCTTGAAGGTGGACGTAGTCGTCGCAATATGTTTACAGTTACAGTTGGAAAAAAACCAAGTGCTGCGAAGTATTTTGTGAATGATGTTGAGCAAGTGATGGAGATTGTGCATGCAATGACAAAAGTTTCAACCTCTGCGAAACGTAATTTTTCAATGAATGATTTACGTTTATTTGATCAACATTTAGTTTCAAGGTAAGAAGTTGTTGTTTATTGTTTTTTTAAAATGAAATGCTTAACAATGTTGTTGATAGTGGAGCTTTTCAACGTCCTGATATTGGACAAAGTCGTCAATTTGGATATATGAGTGAAGGAAGCATTGAAGGTATTGATTCGGATCATGAAGAATCCAATCGAATGAATCTTGTAACAAATCATGGTATTACGAATCGAAAACATGAATTACGAAGTGGAACTGAATTTGTTCGTAATTCCATGTCCATGACTTCATTATCAACTGTCACCACGTCGTCATTATATCCAACATCCTCTACTTATGAACAATATCTTAGTAATGTTGATGAAGCAGCGGAAGAGGAAGAAGGAGGAATTTTCTTTTAATTTTCAAGTCTAAGGAATCATTACATGTCATTCACTTTCCCTTAGTTTAGATATTTCTCTTGAATTTCATGTACAATTGAATCTTCCAATGTGATATCTTTGACATATCCAGCTTGAAAGTCTTGACTTTGATAGACATAACCACTTGCTTTCTCAATTGCTGCATTCACTTTTTCTAATGTCATTGGATCTTGAATCTGTAAAGGAAGAAAAGAAACGAGACTAAAATCTTCAATTACTTGAATCAATGCTTCAGTCATTTGATCAAATCGTTTTGAAAGATGTTTTTGAATCTTTGGACATTCCAAACAATGTGATGTCGTGTCTTGAAATTCATCAGAATCATCGAAACGATTGAGTAGATAACGTAAGTCAAGGACATCGGTATAAAAGTCTAAATTGAATGCTATCGTACACAATAATTGAAACGTGAGTACAGAAAACAATATATTGGGAAAACGTACGTACCAAGTTTGCCATATTGTTCCATCAAATCAACTTTTGAAAATACATTGATATGTGGTAATTCCAGTCGTACCATTGATGATAAACTTAACATGACCACAGAAATGAATTTGAAGCTATCGGTACAATGATGAGCATCGACAAGATGTACAACTGCAAGCTAAAACACACAAAAAATAATTATTGGTGATATTGTTGACCATTTGTTATGAATAACATAACGTACATGGTACCCAATTTTTTGTAACTTGTGAAGAATATTGTGAACACTAGTGGTATGAGTATAAAGCTCAACTTGTCCAGGAAAATCAAATAGAAGATATTTGTTCTGTAGCATTGTAAGCTTCTCTTCTAACCACTCAAAGTTCATGTCGATGTAATCCATACAATACACAAGACCTATAATATTGTAGATACCCCATTTTCAAGTCATATACCTTTTTTTACCAATAAAGTATCAAATTTATTGTGTACGCACCACCATTTGGACCTAAATCAAGCTCTTCCATCACTTTCTCAAGACAAACCATCTCAGCGACGTCAATATCAGCAACGTATGGTAATTGTTCATTAGCTGGATCCATATTAACTACAGCCACATCTCGACCTTTAGCTTGCAGGAATTGCTGCATTCCATTGCAGTACGTTGTCTTGCCCGAACCAGGAGGTCCTAACACAATTTGTCCGAACGCCATCAAATTGAAAATTGAGTCATATTTTATGAAGATGAGTACAAAGTTTTTATTACTTTTGTGAGGTTTTAGTACTTAATTCCGTCCTTTGAAATCGGCAACTTGAGTTCCATGGAATTTTACAAGTCTGAGAATTATCAGATCGAATAAGACGAACATTCTGAGTCAAATGGGGAGAATTGCCATCTTCCATGTGGCAAATTTGATACACTTGCGAATGCAACAAACGTGCGACATAAGTGGCATTTGCACTGTTTGTGTTTCCAACATTTTTACAAAACATGCTAGCAGGTGCACCATTCACAAGACCATCACTCTGAGTTACACTTAACGTGCGTGCAAATGGATTACGTACACATTTGGCAAGTGCTGGATGTACCCATTCTTTCATACATGCAACACGACGCAATCGTTCGTTAAATATGATCTGTTGCATTTCGTGAAAACTCAAGTTGCCGTCAGTATCACGGGGCAATCCAGCAAATAACGTGATAATGTCACGTCGCGTATATTGTGGAAAACGCGTCAACATGTGATCAAATTGACGCACTACTTGATCTTCTTCCTCTTGTATCAATGCACCCATTTGATACACTGCAAGAAGATCTTCTCGTTCCATGCGTGTAGCCATAATCTTCACTTCACGATCTGTGACTTCATGCAAACCTTTGATTCCACTCCGCAACTTACAATTTGCATCCAAAGGACCATATAGTCCAAAAACAAATAATCGACCAGCTGAAGTTGCATGTTGCAAGTGAGGAGGAAAAACAAAGTGTAAAAGATGCTTTAACGCCACTGAAGCATTTAATTTTGAAACATGTTCAAGTTCCAGCGACAGATCCTTGCGTCGTGTCGTAGTAAAGTCGCTAGTGTGTTGCGACAGAAAGTTAAGTTCTTCTTGTACAGTTGCCGCGTTTTCACTACATCGAAGTCCGAGTTTTCGAGGTGCGTCTTTAGCAAATTGAGCACGAAGACATGGAGTTGCACTTTCATTCCAGGCTGCAGGATCAGCAGGACCAACAAGTTTAATCAGGTCAGCAACTGCGTTTGACTTTGCAACACCTAGGACAAGTGTTGGACCACTCGATAATGCTTGAATGGCAAAGTCGTCAACTTCTGTCAAAACCACACTCGACGTCTCGTTACAAATTAATTTGTCAGCAAGTGGATTTTGATATCGAATACTGTTCAAGTTGCATACTTCCAAGACAAAAGTTTGTGCTGCTTCCGGTGACAAAGAAATCAGCATCTGTTGTTGTACTTGAAATCCCCATCGTTGAAGTTCTTGCCGTACAGCTTCATCATGTTCCAATGCATCAGCTTGAAGTAATAAAACAGTAATTTGTAATTGATTCAGATCAGCATCACTAGGATCTTTTCGACTGGTTGATGGCGTTTTTTTCATTGTGTACGTAAAAGGAGAAATGACAATTGAAGGCAAATTTGCTAGAAATAGACAATATATTTCAAGACAACAAAAGTTGGTGTTTTTTATATCATCGACTTATCTCATACAGCAAGGGCAAAGCCAACGCGTGGCTTACGAGTGTCCGTACCCCAATCAAAAACAGTATAATGTTTGCGCATAAACACATCACCTAGAATCCAAAGTGGACCAGCAGGTGGTGGAATATCCATTCCGACAAAAGCAAAGAGACAAAATGGTCCACTCTTAAGTGTATACTCCGATTTGGTGAGAGTGAATGTCTTGCCATTTAACACAAATGAAATGTCTGGAGCAGTAGCAGAACAACTGATGAAATACTCACCAAGTATAAATTTATGTGCACCGACTAATTTGGCCAATTTTGCCACTTGGTATTTTGGTCCAGCAATAAGTGAAGTGCCAGAGTCAATAATTGCCTTGTTCACATCAGTAACATTTTTGTCAAAAATTGTAATTGCGTCAAGTTGCACTGTCCAATACGTGGCACTTATTACATCAACATAAGTAAGTTCCCCTGTATAGTGACTTTGATCGACACCACCAAGTATCAACTCGCCGTCTTTTTTGTCGCCTAGATAAAATGCAAATACTGGTTCATCCAATAAACCTTGTTGCACCATTCGATGAAATGGAGTTTTAAGGTGATCAACGCTAATAGTGTCAAAAGCTAGACCAAAAAGTCCATCAAATTTGCCAAGATAATAGGCCGGACCTAATCCTTTTGTCACATTCACTTCAGCAAAAAATTGGTCCGAGACTGTAAGTTTACCCACTTGCAAAGTATCTTGCGACAAAAATCCTGACACGGGTCCACTACCATACATGATATTAAAAATTGATCCATTTTGTTTGTACGTAATACTTTTTGTATGGTCATATACATGATGCGATCCAAATTTTTTGTCAGGTACCCACAGGTTACTCGATCCCGTGTCAAATACAACAGCAAAAGGTTGAGGTGGGGTACCAATTGAGATCAAACCGTAATATTGTGCATTCTGAAAGTCGCGAATGATAACATCAGCTGTACCTTCGACGGCAAAATTTGGATCTTGAAGCAATAGATTCACGTTTGGGATCCAAATCGCAGGACGATGTATGGATTGAATTGGATTTAATAGCGATGATAGAAATTCATCATTGTTGCGTTTAATCATTGGCACACGCAGTACTGCAGCGGTGCTGAGTCCAAGTAGCAAGAAGCAGAGAAAACGACGTGACATTAGAGCAAAAGTTTGGTACTGAGAAAGATCCTTTATTCTTTAGAAATGTGGTACAATGTACCAGGTTACGTGTGTGTAGAAAGTATATCTAATTAGTTTCTATATAAGTTACTTTATTAGGGTGGATGCGGATTGTAACAGGGTTACACGTACCCAGGGGGGCGTAACACGAGATGGGCATGGTGTGGCTGCCTGCACCCAAACAAGAATATGGTATGTGGCTAGGTAGCCGCAGTAGTTATGCATGTATCTATATTTATTTCAGGAGAATCTCAACATTCAAAATTAGGCGGTTTAGCTGCAGATAAAAAAATATATAACTTAAGATCAGTTTTGGATTTTAAACGGAAGAGTAATGAGCCTTGGGTTAAGGCAATATTTACTCTTGGAGTAAGCGGATTGCGATCTGCTAACTTGTATTTGTTTTATGTATAGAACGAAAGGTCGGTGACCTAAATTACGCTTCCTTTGAGCGCAACGCTACGGCAGCCCCGCTGCAGTTCTATACTGAATGCAGCATGATTATTTTAGACTGTTTGCAGGTTGACGGCTACAACAACAACAATCAGCACTACAGCGCTATGTGTTAAATTACATCTATTCGTTGCAATTAGAATATTTGACGTTAAGTATGCCAAACTGATTGTCCCATTAATCGTGATCAGTAATTCTTTTCGCGGTTGTTGTGTCCACCTCAGAGTTGCATGTAGTACTCACGATGCAGTATGTTGTATTTAGTGTTGCCCTGCTCAACTTCAGCTTTACGGAAGAGCCGTTCGTGGCCTTCGTAGACACACTTTTGACGAGTGAAAGTAAGGCGAATTCTAATGCGCAGTCGCTCACAGTACTTGCACCATTGTTGAATACGCGATCAGAATTTTTCTGAATAGAAATATCGGGCACGATATACCATAGAATTTGTCAAACGCAAGTATAGATCTGATAGATAATCTCCGGCAACCTAAACTTGATACTTGCTCAGCTAAATACGATCTTCTTGAGCAACAAAGCTTGACAAAAGCAATACTGAAAGTATAATAATACTGTTGTTGAGGATTAAACCTGATCTATACATCACGTGGGAACTTATCCTACGGACCACCTTCTGATCAAATTTCAGTCTTAGAATTTCTGGAAACGTCTTTGGGGTGACGAAAAATGTAATATATTCTGATGTGCTACACGTAGTCGGCAGACTCATTACTGGTAGCACGAAACTGATTACTTGTATTAAAGCACCCAACGTTTGGCGTTTTGGTTTCTTAAAACTTGCGCACATAAGTACAAGCAGACTGTGCTTGCGACGAGGATTTCACCTTTGAGACCTATGCACACGCTCAAAACTGCTAGTAGTTTGTATATTTTTGGTTACGAGTAGGTAGCACCCGCTGATCCAAACGATTTGCTCAGTGTCATGTGCACACGTTGAATGACAGTCTCTGAGCGCCGTAAACCTACAGGCTGTGTATAATAGGGTACACCCTCCATCGGAAACTCATGTAAGTCTAAAACCCCACTTTGGCAAGATTGCACGGGTGTCGTGGCAGTTTGAGATGTCGATCTTTATCTTTTTTGATGAAGAACCATGATCGCCAGTCGCGTTGCGCTTTCACTAGTGAGCGAGGGACGACCTTGGGTGACTGAGATTGTCGGTCGTTAGCTGTTACAGCAGTCTTGCCATCGGGCTGTACACAGCAAGAACTGGAGATGATGGCTTGTCCCCGTCATGTTCGTATATTGCAGAGTCATAAATTAGTCGACGCTCTAGTCATACGTTCACTTCACTGGAGCTGAATTGTAAATCTATTAAACGAGTAAGCGGCGTGATTTCGTAACAAAGTGCACGAACTGAGCGTGAAACTCAGCAGACCTTCCAGCAGCTTCGAGTATTCCTCATTGAACTGAACAGTTTACACAACCACTGCTGCCCCATTCACAGACCGTTCTACAGGAAGTTACTGCCTGTGGTTTTGTATCGATCATAACGTTACTTTGCTGCGCTTGTTAGATCGGCGCGAGAGGAAGGCTCGCACGTTTTGGCGTGTATGGGTTTCCCACCAGCGCGGCGAGCGATTTCAGACGGTAATTACGACGGGAGCTGAGCAAAGGTTGGCGCGATAAAGTGCGTTTGCAGTAGAACGTTCTGGGTCTCTTGAGCCGAGGCTGGCTCTTTGGTGACGGGCTGAACTTCGTCGTGAGTTGTAAGGCGAGGTGTCGAAACACTTGCCACCGATGGAAAGGGTGCGGAGCTGGACACTTTAATAACGGGGAGGCTGAGTGCATCTAGAGTTTCCTTCTTGGGGACTGCTAGGCAGTGTATCACATGACGATGAAGAAGGTGTTCAATTGGAACTCATAAAGTTAGGTTCGTTATGATCATCGGTATCTTTTTCAAAAGTTTCTCTTGATGTGTCGATTGTAAAGACCGCGTCCTTGGCGAAGCTATTTGAGCCGTTCAATTCGGTTCACGGGAGTGGACTCATGGCGCAAGTACGCTCAGAAAGAAGGCATAGCAAGTGCAGAGAGCGGATTGGAACTCCAGGCGCAGTGGTTTCTTGTAAAGCGGTCACTTTTGCGCAGTGTTTTTAAGGACGAAATAAGTGTGAACCCCGATTTGGTCCACATCTTAAAAAATGTTAATTATCAGAGGCTTTCACCAGCATTTGTGTTTTTGTCAACGCGGACTTTGACACCTCAAGTTTACACTGTGCAAATTGCACGGCAACCTCGTTGCAATTCTTACGTACCTTAATTGACTCACTAAATAGAGATCGTTATGAAAGGCTTGTACCTGTATGTTTCGAACCACTTGGAATTTCTTCACGATGTTTTGCCGCCTTTAACGAAAGCATTAGTAAATAAATCAGAATAGGAATTGATTTGAAGAAACATCATTAGCTTAAAATGCATGTACGAACAAGTTAATCTCAACGAACTAGTACATACAAGTGTTCGTGATGAACATTCAAATATCATCAAGCGAGTGTTTGATGTTTAGGGTGGTTGGACTCAATTAGACCGACATACATGCCAGCACCCAACAAGCCACCAATAACCGGGCCAACAATTGGAATCCAGAAGTAGAAGCTGCGAGTTGTGAACACCTTTAAGCCCCAGCCAGCAAGAGATGTAAAAAGACGAGGACCAAAGTCTCGAGCTGGGTTCAAAGCATAGCCTGTATCGAGGCCAAAAGCCATGCCGACGCACGTTAGCATTAAGGCTAACGCAGCTGGAAAAGTGTATGGACTTGCAGGTTGATTATGTTGATCACTGACCGCAAAGATTCCGCTTACGAGTAAAGCAGTGCCAACGACTTCATTCGCAAAACCACACCAATTCGGGATTTTTTCGTTCGGGTAGGTTGCAAAGATGCCTTGGGTTGTCATACGCTCGGGGTCTTGAAGATCAAACCATGGATAATATACCACATAGACGACCCATGCAGCAGCAAAAGCACCCAAAGTTTGAGCAAGAAAGTAGCCAGGAAGTTTGTACCACTCAAATCGTCCAAAAGCTGCCAGAGACACGGACACTGCGGGGTTAAGATGGCCACCACTCACACCACCAGCAAAATGAATGCCGAAGAGCAGTCCAATACCCCAGGCGAGATTAACAGACAGGTAGTGACCAGCGTTTCCAACGCCAAGTATGTATTGGGCTACGGAGCCATCACCAATGAGAACCAAAATAAAGGTGCCAACAAATTCTGCAAGACAAGCACGAACGTGTGGGTTGTCGATGGCATAAAAGGGCAAGCGCGGATTGCCATTAAGATCCGCATATTCAGGCTTTATCGTTCCGTACTCGGGCATGTTTGTAAGGTATTGCTGAGAACCGAAACTTGGAAAATGAAGATAATCACAATGCAGCTCAGTGTTGACGTACTGCTTCAATGGGATTATGAATTATAATTTTTTTGGCTCCGGATATTTGAATCCATTGATTGTTCTGAGCTACATAAACTGAGTTTGGAGCAGCTGAAGCGGACAGAGACGATGAACGGAAATTGATGCTCATTCGTACAGTAGAGGAGAATCTTGCTAGAAAAGGAATCATCTAATGTGTACTAAGAGATACACTAGCTCAGCATCGAACAAGGGAATTTTCTAATGCATAATATGTATGATCCTCTCATTTCTTGAATATTGTTCACGATTCAGATATTATTTTCGTGCGGAGATGAACATACGCTTCTTATAGCTTTTGCGAAACGGACCTGTCCACAACAGCTGTCGAAGCCACTAATCCCGGGCTCGAGTAATTTATTGGATACCTGCACACAATGATCGACAATCCCGTTGTTAAACTTACTGATTTCTAATCTTGAGAGCAAGTTCCTTTGCCTCTTACCCGAATGACCAAGTACGGCACCAGTAAACCTGTTTACGTCGACGTGGAAAGCAATTCTCCGTTGCCATTCTACCGCGTTTGTAATTCCAACGTTCGTGCTTACCTGGCCGAGTTTGTTGGCACCTTTATCTTCGTGCTTATCGGTGATGGCTCCGTCGCGTTGGAGGAGGTGATGCAGGCCACTACTTGTCTGTAAACTTGAGCTGGAGCTTTGCTCTATTCTTTGGTATTTATTTCTCAGGCAGTGTCAGTGGTGGTCATTTGAATCCAGCCGTCACTTTCACGTTAGCTCTTTTCAAGCGATTTGAGTGGAATAAAGTACCTGGCTACATCTTCGCTCAGACGGCCGGTGCTTTTGCGGCTGCTTTGATCGTTTTCATCGTGTACTATCCGTGGTTTAATAATCTTCATCCAGCACGTGAGACCACGCAAGGTATTTTCGCAACGTACCCAAACGTTTAAATTTCCAACTGGTCTGCTCTTACAAACGAAATCATCGGTACAGCTCTGCTAACTAATAGTATCTTTGCTGTGGGTGATCAACTCAATAAACCTGCGAGTCCCTACAGTTTTCCTAGTGCTATTTCTCTCATGCTTACGTGCATTGGAATGTCGTTCGGTCACGACACTAGCTACGCATTAAATCCTGCTCGCGACTTTGGCCCGCGTCTATTTACATTTTTCGCTGGTTGGGGATGGAACGTCTGGACTTTGCGTAATGGTTATTTCTGGATTCCCATTGTGGGTCCATTTATTGGGGGCATTCTTGGCGCTACCACGTACGTTCACACATCCACTACATTAGAAACATCAATTGTCAAAATAAATATGACTTTGATACTACACTTTGCATTACTACTACTAATTTGTTTTAATAAAACATAATAGTAATATTTAATTTAAGCTTAATCCCATGAGAAACGATAAGACATGAGGCTCGAGGCTAAGTCCGTCGCATGATTCTTCGGTACTATCTATAGGTCTCATACCTTAAATTTCACGAAGGTAGCAACGTCATTTTAAATATGGCAGAGTACAAGCCTGGCTTTGGAGGTTATGCAGATCTTGAAGGGACTGGACGATGGTCGACTTACGCCATTCGAAACCAAAATTTGCGAGCATATATTGCAGAATTTATTGGAACTTTTGTTCTTGTACTTATTGGAGACGGCTCAGTGGCTCAATTTGTGCTTAGTAAACGAGTAGCTGGCGATTATGTATCGGTAAACCTTTGCTGGGGTATTGCTCTCTTGTTTGGTATCCATGTCTCTGGAGGTGTAAGTGGAGGTCACCTTAATCCTGCGGTAAGTGTGAGCATGGCACTATTTAAGCGCTTTGAGTGGCGTAAGGTTCCAGGCTACATCATTGCGCAAACGTCAGGAGCATTTGTCGCTGCTTTGGTGCTTTACATTGTTTATTACCCATGGTTCGATATCGTCGACCCAGAGCGCGAATTTACTCAAGGCATATTTGCTACATATCCCAATGCTCAAATTCCGAATTGGGCTGCGTTTGCCAATGAAGTCGTTGGTACGGCATTGCTGGTTGGTGGCATCTTTGCGTTATGTGATCAGATTAACAAACCCGCAAGTCCCTACAGTTTTCCTGCAGCGGCGGGTCTTCTCCTCGCAAGCATTGGTATGTCCTTTGGCCTCAACACAGGTTATGCATTAAATCCCGCTCGAGACTTTGGACCTCGCCTTCTAACCCTTTTGGGTGGCTGGGGCTGGAAGGTATTTGCATCAAATGGCGGATATTTTTGGATTCCCATTCTCGGTCCATGTATTGGCGCAGTGCTAGGAGCTTCCATATACGTGGGTCTTATTGAACTTCACCACCCTCCACAGTAGCTTGAAATGCATATGTAAGATAAGCTATAAATTAATTTGAATGCCACAGCTTTATTTGTAATAGCTCACATCTTATTGGGTTTGCGATGTTAAGACCATTGAAAGATCGTAGCTTTTGGTCTTCTGTCGCTTGATCCTGTGATGTGTAATCTGTTGTTAGAAAAACTTTCAGCTGATGATAGACTGTACCAAGGAAGCAGCGATGTAAGCATTACAAAGCAGTGGTTCGTAAGACTTTCATTATCGGTGTGAACTTAAACATTGAAAATTCCATGCAGCGAATTATCTATTTCCTACTTGACTTTTCAGAAAAGGCTTTAATTCCCCACTTTTCGTCTTCTGTAGACACCGCGCAAAGTGACCGCTACACGAGCAGCCACTACGTTTGGAGTCAAACTTCATTCATTGCTCTTTACCATTCCTACTTCTCAGAGCATACTTGCACCAGGGTCCCCTCTCGAGCCATCAAACAAATTGACTTAACGAACTCACCACAAAACCACACGCTGTTCGAAGTGAGGAGACCTTATTTCTATAGTAAAGTGGTCGTCGGGTCCTGACCAAACAATTCTGCCCTCACCCGACAAACACAACCTAGCTGTTCAACGAAAAGGAGGCACCCGCCAGAGTGCGGATGATAATCAAGGTCTATTCACGCACTGAGTAAGGAACACGTGCCATACCACCCAGTTCAAAGCTGTGCGAGCCATCCCCTGTGAAGTGGACATCCTGCTAGAGCGTCAATCAATGATTGACTATGCAAAGCACAAAGCACAACGCACAACGCAAACAAAAAGATAGTTTATAAAATCACCACCCCAGCTCTAACTACTTACATTGCCGCCCGTCATCATGGGACAGCTGTATCAGCTAATGACCAAGGGTCTTACTCATCACAAGATCGATCCAAGCTCATTACGGGAAGCGCGCTGCGACGGATGATTCTGCATCTTCTTCGGACCGAGGGTCCATGAGGAATTATTTGACCACGACTTCCAGATAATTGCACAAAGTGGAGCTTCAAACTCCCACGATCTCTTCAATGAAGGTGAACCTTTTACTTAGCCAAACAATTGTTTAAATTCGATGTACTCGCTGGTACGCCAAGCGTATCATGTGAAAGTAGGCAACCACTAGCTCCTCCAGCATCCCAGAATGAGCACGACCCTCCGTGGCTAGCTCTCGTGAACCATGTAGAATGTTGCAGCACGTCGACTCCCTCCCGGAAACTCGGATACGCTCTCTGTGCTTGCAATCGTGCTTACTGGCTTTATGTTCCTCAACCGGGTTAGAACCGCGCCCCAGCTACAGAGAGGAAGGTAGTTCAGCCTCAGGAGACGGTCCAGACGCTGCTCTGTTTGCATCAGAGCAAATCATATCCATTGGTTTGTAAGGGCGGTACGGCGGCCTGGCTGGTAAGCCCATGTAAGACACAGGATGTGTTTGCATTCTATAGGGATGTTTATATCATTACTCATTTCCTTTGTCGCTACGATCACCAATACGATGTAGCGCGGTCGTAATTTGGTCATGTAGACTGCAGACACCGCATGTGTGACAGTTGAATAGATTTAGTAAATCCATGTGCCGAGTACATATTCGTGTGCGTTTCGGCTGTCAAAGGCATTATGTGATGCTCGTGTAAATTGGCTTTTGGCTGTAGCGTCACGCATCCTGCGCATGACGCTCGATATCATCGATATGTATAGCTAAATTTGCTACGGCTTTACTAAGCCACACACACCACTAAGAGCGACGATATCGTGGCGTAGTGGTGTCAAAGGTAGCTGGGGGTCGAACAAAACATTAACATGAGCTGATGCTACGCGTGTAGTGGCATTTAGCGCAACCTCAATTTGAAGGAGCTACTTCGTCCAGTACCGCGATCTCTCAGCTTTGTTATACCCTTACGACGAAAAACAAGCGCTTTGTCTGATTATCTGTTTGTGAATGGTTAACAGCTGACATGTTCAATCTGGTGCCGAGCACCGTAACAATGTTCGCCCAAACTTTCCTATAAAGCATTACTCGCATCTGATACAATGCTACCTGCAAGCCATGTTGGCAAATCACCTAGTCTAAAAATCGCTAAAATGTATTCTTACCGATGATAATATTGCCGACGGCAGCAACGAGCCATCTTGCTCGGATGATCCACAAAGCAAATATGAAAAGATGAAAGGTCAAATGTGACAACAGATGGGCGAAATGGCATCCGATAAGCCAAAAGCCAGGCACGCTTGGAATTTTGTTTCACATTGATTCCGTCTCTTCTGTCATACCTAGGTTAACGGTATCCCCCTTACATAAGTATTTGAGAAAATCGCACATATTTTGTAAATGATTTACTTTAGTACTGCTATCGTACTAAAAGCCACATTGCATATTAAAAAAACTAGAAAAAACTCTTATTGTCTTCAAAGAAGTCATTTCTACCCAATCCATGTGAACAGCCGTTGGCTCTATATGAATATTAATGAATGCAAAAGTAGCGGGATCTTTAGCCTATTTACACTTTGTAGCACTTTGAAGTCCTTCCAATTACCAAGGTTGAGGTTGCCATGACCTACGTACGACCCATCGATGATTTCAGGCGGGGTATTTGATCACACAGCCTTCCCTTACCTGACGACAGTGAAGTAGGAAGCATGTGTCGCATCGCGGCGTTGGGAGGCAAAGTTTGGCGACATCGCTGCTGAGTACAGTGACCCCCAAAAGGCAGCATCAAACCATCCATGGGTACTTGGCGCGCGATCTCGCCAGTGTGAACCGATGAGCGACAATTCTCTTGCGCGCTTTACAGCCTGAGTCGGTCAAGATGGAGACTCTTTGTACTTCGGCCCGGGACAGAATCGTCTCCTCCGAACCGACAGTTCCTTGAAGTGGATCTCGCAATCGCCTTGGGATTACTCAAGGCATCGGCAGCAAGATAACATTTACGCTGCCTCGCCTTATAGGTAAGGCAAAAGAGCGTGCTATCGGGAGGCTAGTCACCGACCCTGGTGCCCCCCCCCTCGAGAGAGTCTCAAGAGTGACCTCTGGTTGGTTATCGCTCCGCCACAAGACAAGTCGCAAATACAAACAGACATCTTCGCTCTGGAGCAGGGTCGGTCCAGCAATCGAGACAACGTCCAGAAGACACGTCACCTGGTGTCAAGTATAGCCTTGAATCCCATCAACAACAGCATGTCTTCGTCTGTGGATCACAACAGCATGTCTTTGTCTGTGGTATGCGTGAAGGCGGCGAGAACGTTTTTTTGCGTATCTGCCTTCAAAGGCCAAGGCGCTTAGCTTTAGCGGTGTCCAGTCGAGGCGCTACATCACTCTAGGCCAATGAACGTCTCTAGTTGAGCGCTTACCGCTTGCGTTTCTTTTACCACCGGGTCCCCAGATCCCATTTAGGCACGTCTTCGACTAATACTTGTTAAGCTGGTCACCTTATACTCGGAAACAGGAGCTTGAACATTCCATATGAGCAGTGGATACAGTCGTTTGATGGCTTGGTCGTGGGATTCACTACAAGAGATTTCAAGTGGTGCGGGGCTGTCGCGCATCGTGAACAGTGAATCTCGAAATCTGCATTAACTATCGGACAGAGGTTGCGTTCGTGCGCACCTTTCAAGAGAGAGACCGTGAGCATCTATGTAGAATTCATGCCACTTAGACTAGTACTTAATGTACACTCTTACAAAGTATTTCCTTTTTGCTGCCAGCACCCACGTGTACCACAGATCTTGTCTTTTCGGATTCTCTTCATCTCTTCGGAAAGGCTGATATTCCGGTACTTGCTATTATCCACAATAAGACCAATTATACAGTTATATTCACACGTAACTGCGGAGCCACAAATCATTTAAAGTGAGACGGTTAACCGCAAGTCTC